AGGTCTATTTCAATAAATTGTCCTTGAGGTACTTCAAATATATTTCGAGGAGAATATTGAAGAGGTTGATAGTGAGAGTTATCTGTTTCGTCTTGGTAAGAGAGTAAACTAGGAGGAGATGGGGTTCTTAAGATAACTTGTTGGTCTCAGTAGCTAAAACTATAATCTTCATCTAGAAAATGTTGTATAGAGAGTCCTAGGTTTCCAAAGTATCTTTCATATTGTCCTGGATCTTTGAATATAAAACTATAAGCTAAGTCAATGTAGTGGTTAAAGACGTTTTGGTATTCGAAGTCAATAATAGGTAAGGCAGTGAGGTGTGTATATCTGATAAGTAATACAAGAGCAATTTCTCTTGGGTCTCCAATATCTTGATTGTATCAGCAACTAAAAATAATGTTTCGGATGGAGGTGTGAATAGAGGGTTGGTCTCGGGTTACAGTTAGATGTCCAAAATTTGTAGTAGTTCGGGAGGTATAAGAATAAGCAGAATAGGTGTTGGAATACTAATTCCAAAATCTTCCAAAATTATTTTGATGGAAAGTGCGAGGACTGACTCTTGGTGGTAAGAAGTAAGCTTGGCAGAAGAGATCTGGGTTTAAGGCTTGTAAAGTTGTATAAGAAAGAGCAGAGTTTTGGGTATGTTCGTGTTCATGGTTTTCAATAAATTCATTGTGGAGTTGAGTAACTCTATTAATCATAGAGTAAAATTCAAAGCTTATATCTGGCTAAAATAGAAAAGATAATAATAATAATGTTTTTTGGGGTTGGATCCTTATATCTACACTTTGGTTTGTGGGGAATCCTTCAATTGTTTTTCAAGGTTGGATCCTTATGCCTACACTTTGGCTCGTGGAGAACCCGTTAATGTCCTAGGATAATATCATCTAGGCACCAGCTAGAATAAACCAAGGCGAAAGTTGTCGTCCGCAATACTCAAATACAATCCAGGATAACTATCCTTCAGTAAACAGCTATTAATTAAGAGGGGCCGGGATAATGTCGTTCGGTAAGAGTTTTAAAATGTTTTCTGCTAGGAGGCACTAAATGTTACAGTACCATAGCCTTCTTAACAGCAGTACTATAACAATGACATGGCTACAGGGATCCTTCATAGGTTTATAGCGGTATCTAACAGGTAAGTATAATTTCTGCTTCTTGAAGAACTTATACTCTTCTGTCTGTGACAGTTCGGGCAGACAATAGTTTATAGATAAAATATATGTTTATTAAAGATAAATAAGATAAACTATCCTTAGGTTCCTATTTCTAAAGAATCCTATAATATTACAAGAAAGAATTTAGAGAAGAGGAGAAGTAGGGTGGATAATAACAAGTCTGTTGTTATTTCAGATCTAATATTAACTTGAGAAAATTTACAGCCTTTTTATATCTTTAGAGCTAATCGCTAATCATTGCAGCTAAACGTAGTTTACTTAGTGCTAAGCGCTAATTGTAATTGCTAATCATTAAGCATTAAGTATTAATTGTTAATCACTAATTGCTAAGCGTAATCGCTAATCGCTAAGTGTAATCGCTAATCATTAATCGCTAAGTGTAATTGCTAATTGCTAAGCATAATCGCTAATTGCTAAGCATAATCGCTAATTGCTAAGCGTAATTGCTAATTGCTAAGCATAATCACTAATCGTAAATTGCTAAGTGTTAAACGTTAAGGCTAATATTTTTTAAATTCTTCTCTAAGATAAATATAATAATAACTAATAACTAATAAAATACAAATATCGAAATAATAAAATAATATTAAGATAAAATAATAAACTAATAAAATAAAACTGTTCTATAACAGAATATTTAATAAATAGTTTTATGTTCTAAAAATTTAACAAATATATTATAAAATCAAGTATATATATTTAAAATTATATCTGTGTCATAATATTAGTATCAGAAAATTTTTTAAATAGATATTAATTGATATATATATACGTAGCAATTAACTGATTTAAAAACTTCAATAAACAATGTTAAGATTAGTTATATATCGATATTAATCGATTTATTAAATTCGATATTATTTGTTTTTAAATATATATCAATTGATATCAAAAATCGATATATATTAAAAATCAATATATTTCGATTATTAACAATACATAGCATACTATACTATGTCAATAAATATCATTAATAATCAAAATATATCAATTTTTAATATATATTGATTTATGATATTAATCGATATATATCTAAAATCGAATAATATTAAATTTAATAAATCGATTAATATTGATAAATCTTTATCCCTTAAACTGTAGGCTTTTCCAGGCAAATTTGCCTAGAAAATTATCATAAATATTGTTATGATCTACTTTTTTTAAATTTTAATATAATTAAATAAATTTTTTTTTGATAATATTTGAAAATAAAGATTATATTATAGCAGTATTTAATTTTATATTATAAGAAAAAAAGTCTTAGTTACTTATAAAATAAAAATAGATTAATTTAAAAAAATTTTTTAATAAAAAAAATTATTAACTTATTCTTTGCAAACTCTTTAAATATTAATTTTAAAAATATAGTTCTTAATACAATATTTTAGTTTATATAAAAGATGACATTTTTCATTATTATAACTTTTATAATCTATAAAATATTAAGGAGCTATGGTGTGATAAAACATAGGAGATAAACAAGCGATTTAATTAGCTCGCATCGCGCATGCATATTACTATAAAACACCGTATAAGGTACCCCCTTGATTTGTACCAGGTACGTTTCAAGGTCATCGATGCGGTATTTTGTAAGATAGCCTGTGTCACTTATTTATACAGTTTAAAGTACTTTTTGAGAACATAACATTTCACTAACAAAAAATCACCACAAATGCCATTTCTAACTTCGAAAGAATGTCTATATATACTACAAAATAATCAAAAAATAATCAGAACTTTACTTAGAAGTGAAAGTTTTCGTAATTTATTACTATTACTATCTAAGCAGAGACATGAATTGGAGATCAAGGAATTTGATCACTACAATTTTAGGTATGAAAGCGCTTTAGAAATGAAAGGAGCGGTGATCTTAGTTGATTTTCGTCAAAACTTGCTTCGAGAACTGCTTCCTAAAGGAATTGCTGAACCCCTTCATCACTCTCTATATTAACTATATACTAGTATTGAATGCGGAAAAATAGTTGAATAAAAAGAACGAATAAGATGTTTAAGGTAATTTAGATTTTGAAAAAAAAACTTTTACAAGCTGTTAACTTATCATATTTAAATTTGAAATACTTCTTTTAATAGTCTTAATACTTACATTACTTTAATATTGTGTAGATTTTATTAAGTAAATATAATATATATGGCTTTAGTATGAATAGAAACGTGTGGTATAATTAATAGTATAGACCAAAGATGGTAGTGCGATAGTTGTAATAACTAAAAAATAGGATTATTATTTAAGAATTGCTGGTATAAAATTTCGTCCGCATTATGAATTCGTTCAATTTGTGTTATAGTCAGAATATTGTGATTATTAGAATTAAGTGATATACATAATGATTTATTAATGATTTATCAGTTTCATAGCAATTTACTGCTAAGAAAAGTAATTGGCCAATTAAATACATGGTGATTTATAATTATTATGCGGTTATATGGACAGAAATTTTTAGTGGAGTGCTGTGGCTATATAAAATTAGGTGATATAACAAAGTAATACTTATAAAAACTGATAAGTAACAGATCAGTTTTGGGCTATTTTTAGCTGATCTGTTCAGTATATTGCTCATAAAAACTGATAAGTAACTGATAAGTAACTCAAAAGCAATTCATAAGCAATTTTACAATCACCAACAAATAATCAACTTTTAATCTTAGTAATCACACTGTATATATATATTATTGGCCCAAATTCTATTTAATCTCATCATTCAACTTATCTAATCACAAACTAATCACAAAGTTAAAGATTTCCGCCCATATGTTTTATAAACGGTTTTATAAGCGATTCATAAGTGGATTAATAGTTAAGGCAAGCAATTGACCAATTAAATAAAATTTTACAAATCAATTTTACTGAAGATCAAGCAATATCAATTATATTTTACCGAAGATCATGAAATATCACATAAATGATTGGATTAAATTTTATGAATTGTTATCATTAATTTTTAATACAGTAATCACCAAATCGAAAAAATCCGCACATATGAATTATACCAAATCATGATATAATAATCTCAACAAAAATTACTGTTACAGATAGAGCATCTACTTAAGAATATAATTGATTAAAAAGTCCCGAAGCCCTATAACATGTATCAAATATCATTGAATAAATTCGAATTTTTTATTGGTTACTCAGATATACGTAATAAATTTGATCAAATGAATATTCGAATTGACCTCTAAAATTACACAGAACAAATAGGTTTCGAAACGAATTTGTTCTATTTTTAGATATCCATATTAAATAAGTACTATTTATTTCACGTTTTTATATGATCACATGACGGGGTTTTACAACTACTTTAATCAATAAAAACCGGTTTTCTAGCGATACAAGTTATTTCTCCAGCAATGTTTATTATTTCCCTGAAATTCTGGGAAAATAACAAACGTTGTTGAAGAAATAACTTGCATCACTAGAAACCCGTTTTTTATTGCTTAAAGTAGTGATTATAAGTTGTAAAACCCGTCATACGATCATATAGAAACATGGAATAAGTAACTATCACCATTAACTCTGCATTAGCTGATTTCTTAAAAAGACAACTACCCTTTTTACACTTAGACAATTCATATTAAAAAAATCGATTTATACATGTAAATATACATAAATAAATTTTATAAAGATAAAAAATTCTTATGGAACTTAGTATAGAACCACAATGTATATATATAAACCACTAATAAACCATTCTTTTTTTCTTGCATTTAAAATTTATCAATTTTTAGTGCTTTTTAAACTTCAAAAAATTAGTACTTTTCTAATTCAGCTTAGTTATATTTTTATATAGATTAACAAAAATAATGTTACAAAATTTATCTACTCGAGACATGCAAATTCAAAATCAAAGAGCTATTGCACAACAAGCAAAGAGACAATGTGAACAAATAGAGAGAGCTGCTAATCGACGAGCTATTGCTCAACAACAAAGAAGAGAACGTGAATCTTCTATTCGTTTATTTCAAAATAATACTCAACATTATCTTGGTCGCATGGATAAAGAATGTAGTTACTGTGGTGCACTTCACTGGTTGGATGAACGTGTAACAACAAGTTCAAAAAAAAATCTAAGATTTGGAACCTGTTGTCATTATGGAAAAGTTAATCTTCCTCATCTTCAAGATCCACCTCTTCTATTACGTCAGCTTTTTAAAGGCCAAAATAAACAATCACAAGAATTTTATACAAATATATGTCAATACATCAATATAATGCTGCACTTGCTTTTACTTCTCTTAGAGTAAATATTAATCAATCTGTTATTCATAAACAAGCCCCATATAGTTTTCAAATTCATGGTGAATTATGCCATCTTTCAGGTGTACTTCTTCCTGATTTTACTACAACAGCAAGTTATACACAACTTTATATTTATGATTCAGAACTTGTACATCAAACAAGAATGAACTGTAATGAAAATTTGAATCCTCAAATGATGTGAGAATTACAAATAATTTTACAAGATCATCATGCATTTTATCCTATATATCAACAATTATATGAAATTCTTGTATAAGCATATGAAAATAGTCATTCTGAATCT